AGAAGCTGGGAAAGAAAGAGTGGAGCTGTCGGTGGCTTGTGGCCTCTAGGAGCGTCCTGTTAAGACCTCAGCTCCCTCTGAAAATTTATCCAGAGCAAATCAGAGTCAAAGTCATCCCAGCACAGGCCACGTGTTCCCTTCTTCCCCTCCCATCAGCGCCCTGCCACCTTCAGAAAGTCCGGACCACCTGCCTGGAGCCCTCACCGAGAGTTGCCCAGTTTACAGTTAGCACACACAGCATGTGATGGGGATCGTGGCTTAGATCTGGAGCTGTGCATCATACTGTAGGCCTCTGCACCTGCGCCGCCTATCTTTTCCCTTCTTGATCATTTGTTTTTCTTCACTCTGTGTGTCGGCCTATGTGCTATGCATGGATGTTTGTGTGTGTGTGTTGTGTGTGTGTGTGTGTGTGTGTGTGTGTGTGCTCACATGAGAGTAGGTGCATGAGTGTCTGCACATGTGTGTATGTGGAGGCCCCAGAGCTAACCTAGACCCTCTCTTGATCATTTTTCTACTTTTTCCTTCTTACGGCTGTGTCTCAGTCAAACCTCAAGCTCACCCATACTGCTAGTCTGGCTAGGCAGCGTGGTCCTCCCAGGGCTGGAATCACAGGCAAGCAGCCACACACCCAGGGCGCTGACGTAGGGTTCTCAGGATCTGGACTCCTGCCCTCCTGCTCTCGAGGCGGGAGTGTCAACTGCTCAGCCACCTCCTCAGTCCCTCTGGTCATTTTTCTTTTCCTACAGCACCTCTTATGGACTGTATCCCATGATTATGGGATAGAGTTCCACAAGGCCTGGTTCTTCCCGATGAACTTAGTCTAATGGGAAATAGACACATAAACTTAACCACCATGATTACTGTGTGCGCACAAACGGAATGATGCACAGCGCGTTACTATGAGGTATATAAGCAGTAGGACCCGACAGATGAAGTGGCCAGAGTTCAGTGACCAAAGTATGGTAGGCAGGTGTGTGTGCATGTGCGTGTGCGCGTGCGTGTGTGTGTGTGTGTGTGTGTGTGTGTGTGTGTGTGTGAGAGAGAGAGAGAGAGAGAGAAAGAGAGAGAGAGAGCGCGCGCGACATGGTGGTCTCCCACACAGATAGTGGACTAATTATTTTTGCACCACTATTAGCAGATAACCTGACAGACACATTTGTGGAAAGGAAGATTTTAATTTGACTTTTGGTTTCCAAGGGATTTTTTTACTCACTGTGGAGGGAAGGCAAAGGCACAGTTCATCCCACCGAAGCTTTAAAGGAGCGGTTCTCAACCTTCCTAACGCTGTGACCCTTTAACACAGTTTCTCGTGCTGTGGTGACCCTCACCCCAACCATAAAATTATTTTTGTCACTACCTCATAACTGTGATTTTGCTACTGTTATGAATCATAATGTAAATATTTTAAGAGATAGAGCCTGTCAAATGGGTCAGGACCCACAGGTTCGGAACCGCTGCTTTCCAGTGTTTGAAGTAGCGCACATTCACATGGCAGCCAACCAGGAAGCGCCAAGAGGCTGGTCAGAACCAGAGGGGCCTCACCTGCTAATGACCCATTTCTGCCGGCTGAGCCCCACAGCCCAAAGGTTCCACAACCTTTTGCAAATGATGCCCCCAGCTGGAGACCAACTGCTCCAATACACGAGCCTGTGGGTAATTTTTCAGACCCAAGGAGTAGCGCACTGATAGGAGCCTGGAAATGCAAACAGTTCTGTATTGCCGGCAGTGCTCTCACAGGTTTTACATTTCGAAAAGATCTGAAGTTGATGCAGTACTCCAGGCAAGGCTTGGGGAACACTTAGAGCAGGAAGATGGCAGGATGGGTAGAAAGAAGGAGATTAAGATAAAGCCAGCAGGACTTGGTAATAAATAACCAGTGCTTGGAGGAGAGGCAAGAAACCCAGAGCAAGCCCAGGGGACTGGCGAGGTTGAAAGAGAGCATCAAGCAGTGGCTTTATAGAGAGGCAAGAAGGGAAGCGAGATTGGCAGTGGCCCGTGATAAGAGAGACTGTGTGAGATCAAGCCTCGGCAAGTTCCCGGAGCTGAAAAGGAAAACGTGGAGAGTGACTTCAGAGGAGCAAGACAGCATCACGTGCCAGGAGCGCTGGTTAACTAGGACTAGCAGAAGCAAGTGCAGATTGGTAAATTCATTTTCTTCTTCAGGTGTAGTGTCCAGGGCCTAAAGGCTTCTCAGGTGTTCAAGATTATGTTTGAAGTCTGAAAAAAAATATATTGGCTTCCCAATGCACAAAGAAAACTTGCAAAATTAAATTAAGACATGTTTAATTAAATATCTCCGAAATGGAACATTGTTCCAACTTCATTAATTTTTAAATTTAATATTCATAAGAACTGTATCACATTTAGACACAATTTTGGGGTTAGATTTTTCTCATTTTGCAAACATTTCCTTATAAGCAGTGATGGCTGAGAGATCACAGCCAATTTTAAATTAACTATTTCTTTCTGCCCCATAAAAACAGAAGAAAAGAAATTAGATACATTTAATTGTAAGATGTTGGGGGCATTTTCTTCTACCTGTTTTTGTGTGGGACAGAGTCTCCAAATGCATGTGTTTTAGAGCTTCTTAAAATAATGCTGATGTAGACCACTCTTTTCAGCAGTTTCACAATGATAGAGAAGGGGGGGGTGGACATTGAGTGGACAGAATTGGAGCAGTCAGGAGTCTGGGAAAGGAAAGACATGAACAGAAAAGAGCCAGTGGGGAGGGAAAGATGGAAAGGTTCAGGAGGTGACTGACAGGGAGGTGCCCAACTCTCTGCATCCAGGGTACAGGTGACAGAATGAGAACCATAGGGGAGAAACATTCCTTCCAGAAACAGGAGGGCAGAGCTCTCCTGGGAGGCCCCAATCTTTTTCTTGATCCCAGATAGGTCCATCTTCAAGTGATGGAGGTACCTTGGAGTGTCCCAACATCAGCCTAGCACTCCTGGGCAGGTGGCCATCCTTGCTATCCCTAAAGTCACTTTTCTTCCCTGGGCTGGCTGGAGAACCTAGTGCTCTGAGGATTCATGAGCTGTGGCAATGCCCTGCCTCTCACCACTCTGTATTCATGAGCTGGAGCGCCAGCCTGCAAACCCCAGCCAGACCCTCGGACATGCTCATTCTTTCTTCAGAGGCCCCTTTCGTCCCATTCCTCCATCCACGTGGATCCTGATATTTCTATAGCTAAATGCCTTCTGTCCCTGGTGGCCTAGGTGGAAGAGGCTGGTGTTTAAATGGACCCAACCTATTTTCCTTCTCTATTTTTAAGATCCTCTGTTTTGGATTAATCAAGATAGAGGCCCCTGCACTGATGGGTGCAGATGTGGAACTGCTGACCATGTGAATCTGCAGATCAGAGTGCATGGTCCACTCGAGGTATAGGTATGTGAGGCCTCGGGCCTACTGGAAGTGGACCATCAGAGGCAACACCACTATTCTGTGTTGTATGAAACCAAAACAGACAGACACCCACCTGGGTCTTTGTGGTGGGAAACCTGAGGCATTTGAAATGGACAGGTAGGGATATTCTGCTTTCCAAGCTATGGAGATAGCATCCAATTCCTGTTCCTTTCTGTGGAGCATTTTACGTGATGCAAAACCACAACACAGCCCCATGCCCCATGACAACCTAACTAGAGATCAGACGTGAAATCAAAGAGCACAAGACATAAGCCTCCTGATCACCATTTTCCTAGATGAAAGAATCTTTTGGATCTGTGATTAAGGACCCCATTCAATCAAACATCTCATGTGTTTCTTACATTTCTCTAAGTCTGGTTTCCCCACAGCCAAAGAAAGCATCCAATTATGCAGCTAAACTCATCAGTGCTCCATATGAAAGGCCATACTCACTCTACAAATGTGCATCAAGATATCTTCAGATATCTTCCTAGGCAGTGAGGTATGGCCCAACTTTAAAGAACTAAAAAAAGGCATAAATGCCTTCAAAAATAACAATTTCAAACTAGCTGTAGGCCTGGCTAGCTGGGGGAAAAAAATCACCTGGTAAGTTTGTGTCAAACACAAGAGTTTTGGAGCCAGTGCGATGGTATAGCAGGTTAGGATGCCTGCTGTCAATCCTCACCCTGTTTGATTCCCAGAACCTACATGGTAGAAGAGAGAGGGCTTACTCCAGAAGGTTGTCCTCTGACTTCCATGTGTGCTCTGTGGCACGTATGTGTGGATGTAAGAGTGCACACACTGACACACAAATAAACAGATGTTAAGAAATAATAATAAAATACAGAGTCCATCGTCAGGAATGATTCAGTAGGTCTTGGGGAAGGACTGGAGAGCTCTAACTTTTCCAGGAGTTTCTGATAACAGCCAAGTTTGGGATAGACTAGTCCAGCGGGGGTAAAAAGTCTTACTTTCCAAATAAGTTTAATAAGAATTTAGTTCCCTCTCTGAAATATTCAGATCTAGGATTATTTTGGGGCTTGGGGATTTGGAATTTTGGAATTCTGACTTGCTTGGCATTCCCTGACTTGAAAATCTAACATTTAAAGCTCTTTGAAATCTAAAATTATTTTAGCGTGGTGCATGTGCTCAGAAGCTTTGGGTTTCAGAGTTTCAGTTTAAGGATGGCCCACTAGTGGTACTCTAGCTCTGGGGAGTGGGGTTCTTTCCTTATCCTTAGGTCCCGAAACACATGCTTAAGAACAGCTTCTTAGACTCGTTATGGTTTGAGGTATTTTTTTGTCACTATGAGCCGAATCAGATTGGCCCTGAGACCCTCCCTTAAGACAATCCCCAGCCTCCAGCCCACTACCATTTTATGGGTTCCCCAGCCCCCTTCATTTTCAGCTAGATTTCACTGCCCCAGTTAACCGCAACCACGCTGCTTCTCTTTCCAATGAGAAATTAACTCTCTTCAAGGAATGAGTCTGGGAGACCATCTCCAAGATTGATTCTGGTTGTTGGAGTGGCTTTGAATTGTGGTGTATCTTCCCACTCTCTCAAAGTAACTGTTACTTCTCATGACTTTTCTCTAGGCCTGGGAATGGAGAATATTGGTGGAATCTTTGTGGTTCTTATTTGCGGCTTAATAGTGGCCATTTTTATGGCTATGCTGGAGTTTTTATGGACTCTCAGACACTCAGAAGCATCAGAGGTAAGATTCCAAAGTCTTCCGAAGGCTTCCAATGGCATACCCCCCACACACACAGCAGTGTCAAACTCCAGGGCTTCTGCATGCCTTTCAGACAGGACCCGTGGAATGCTCCCAGAGGGTACACAGGACAGCACAGTGGGAAAAATTTCAGTCTCCAGAGTAAAAGATCCTAGTACACACTGTCATGTATCGATTGTGCAACCACAAAAAGAGATCCAAATTCTCCTTTGACACAGCCATCGAATTAATAATGAGAGGAAAAATGTTGTATAAACAACAGACCTTACTATAATGCTGGGGGCATGTGTGGAAGTACCCAGGTTACTCATGTGAAATATGACCTCGGAGCTTCCATTTTGACTGTGTTGTTACTGTACAGGTGAAAATCCTCAGAGATATTCCAACTCAGAGGGACCAAGAAGTTCATCTTCAGTCTTAGGGCTTTGAATAAGTTTAGGTCTCCAGCTGTGGCTTAGAGGCCGGGTTAATACCTACTTTGCACCTACGGAAAGTGTGGGAAGGAATGTTTTATCCCATTGGTCCTCCAAAATCCTCCCTGGGAAGATGCACTAATCCTTACATGTCAACTGCACTTTGAGACTCCCCTCACCCCCACCCCCATTACATTAGCCTTTCGGTTCTGCTGTGGCTCTTCCTTAAGCCCCCTTCTTTAACTGTTGCTGGGGAAATAGCTCCTGAACGTCCAGGCGACACACCCAAAGCCTAAGCAGTGCCACCTCATAGGGGACCTCGCCACAACATCACTGGCCTACCAGTCGTTTGGTTGTCTGTGCTCATCTTTCTCCCACACTGTCCCCCACTCTCCTGTCCCCTGCTCCTGCAGGAAGAGAGCTTGATTTTATTTCCCTCCTCCCCCAAGAAATGAAGGGTAGCCAGCCAGTCCCTGTCTAAACCCCCACCTAAAAAATGTACTCCTCCGCTGCAGCAGGGGGCGCTACCTTTACAGTGCCTCTGCGTGATCTCACCACTCCTCATCTGCTCTCGCCCCTGTTATTCTCACCCTGTCTCCCAAATCCACGACTGTGCCCTAGTTGTTCCTTCTAAAGAGTAGTGATGTCACTATCAGCGTGCCTTATACCATCCTTCTCCTGACCTAAGGACATTTGTAACAGTATTCCTTTCCATTTCCTTGCCTCCCTCTCAGCCCTTAGCCCCATTCCAGCCTGGCTTCTCTCCACCCCTGCCAGGAAGGGCCTTTGCCCATTGCCTGAGCCCTTCCGCACACAGTAAACCAAAGGGAACACATCATTCCCAGACTCCCTTGTCCTTTTCCTTGTTCGACGTCAGGTCTCTTGGGTCCCCTGATACACCTATTTCCAGTTCTAGCCCCTTCTCCCTTTGCTCATCCCTTAACTGCTGCGAAACGTTTCTATGCTCCATGTGAGCCCGGTCGGTGAGTTTTTCATTCCCCACGAGGCCTTCCCCATTTCTTCCCCTGTCTTTTACCCTGGACCAGCGGAGTCAACCGTCAGCCACTCTAGCACCACTGTAACAAAGTGCTTGCGTGCCGTGTTGCAGTAACTAGAGACGTGGAGCTGCTTGGATGTAAGGACTGCTTGTTATCCCTGGTCACGGCAAATCACAGTGCTTGACCCACAGTGGACGGAAAGTGCCTGCTGTTACAATATTCTTGTCACATGTAATGGATTAAGCAGGTGGCGGCGGGGAGTGGGGGCGTTGCCATAGTAATTATTAGAATCGCAGAGGTTTAGTGATTTGCCAAGAGTCTCTCCAGTCATTGACATGATGGGTCTAGAATCAGGTCTGAGAGCCTCTTAGGCCTTATTCTCTGAGCTGATATCTGCTTGGGCTGTTTCTCCCAAGAGCTCAGGCAGGATCTGGATTTACATTGAAATTCAATGACTCTCAGGCACTCTGATAGCTGTATTGGCTGTGTGGCTGTGTACAATATCCGTCCTATAGATAGAACAAGAGAAGGAGGCTTCTGCCATCACAGTCCCGGAGTGCTGTTGTGACCTCAGAGATGAGAACTCAACCAAGCATGCTTGGGGTTTGGAGTTAGACCAGCTTAAGCTTTAATTCTCAAAAGGGATACTCATTAGTCAGTTCTTAACAAAAGATGTAGTGTTTCCTGAGTTTCTACCTACGCATCTGCAAAGTGGATATAATATTAGCGATGATAACAATAGCAACACAAGTTTATCATTCTCTATCCACAGATCCCCCAAACCTAGAATGTTCCAAGCCCTTTGTACATTTGATACAAATGTACTCCTCCACAAAGTCTGATTCATGGGCACCGGCTTCATTGCATCCATTGTGAACACACAAACATTCTGCTGTACAAGTAGCAAGTGCCTCTCTAAAATGCCTTTCTAAAATCCGGAACAGTCTGAGTTTTGAAGCACAGCTGGAGCTGAGCATTTCGCGTTAGGAGACTGTGTCTCCTAACCCAGGTGTCTCTTTCAGAGGGTTTCAGGTGCATCATCTCCAGGCATTGGCAGCTTCACTCAGGACAACTGTAAGGAAGTCAAGGCTGTGCCGCCTTTTGGTGCTGGTTGGTGGAAATGAAAAAGAGTATAGGGAAGAAGAGGCAGGATAGGGAAGAGGCTGTTTCCTTGCACTGTGTTTCCAGAATGTTCCATGACAGCTCAGACAACTCAGTTGGGCATGATGGCTGAAAAACATGGGAATCTTTGGGTCAGAGACAAAATGTTCATGAACAAATGATGACTTTTTCAAATACCAGGGAGACGAATGTAGGAGAGAGTGTGTTTTAAGTAGGTTTCAAGATCCAGGTTTACCTGAGGTCATCATCGGATGAAATTCCCAGGGATAGGAGCTAAAGAGAGGAGGAAGAGGCAGCGCCAGTGGAAATGTGTCACAACCCTGTCTTTCCCAAGATGCTGAGCCTGCTCTTTGGAGGTGGTCAAAAATCGGGCGTCATCTGGGCGTTTGAGCCTTAAACAGGGGGGAGTGAGGCCATCATTTAACTTCACACTTGAGAATATAGGCTGTCCCACTACTCCGTGCCTACAGACACGAGGAGACTCATGAGGCTGGCTCTGAGTGGCTCTCTGTGACCTCCTTGGTCTCCCCCAGGTGTCCGTGTGTCAGGAGATGGTGACGGAGCTGCGCAGTATCATCCTGTGCCAGGACAATATCCACCCCCGGCGGCGGCGCTCCGGAGGCCTGCCACCCCAGCCCCCGGTCCTGGAGGAGCAGCGTCGGCCCCGGGGCACGGCAACGCTCAGTAATGGCAAGCTGTGTGGCGCCGGGGAGCCCGACCAGCTGGCGCAGAGACTGGCGCAGGAGGCCGCCCTGGTGGCCCGCGGCTGCACGCACATCCGCGTGTGCCCGGAGTGCCGCCGCTTCCAGGGCCTGCGGGCGCGACCGTCGCCGGCGCGCAGCGAGGAGAGCCTGGAGTGGGACAAGACCACCAACAGCAGCGAGCCGGAGTAGTGGTGGCGAAGGACCGCGGAGCCAGGCGGGGAGGCGGGAGGGCTGACCTCACAGCACCGTTCTCTCCGGATTCAAGATTCAATCACTTTACAAAGCGATCAGAGCCTGACGCCCCAGCAGGAGCTGGATCCCCCCGCCCCCGTGGGAGAGTGGGTCTATCCGAGACGCTGCACCCACGTGGCAGAGATGCTGTCGCTCGTGGGCACAAGGACCCATCTCCTCCCAGAGGGCCTTTCCCTCACACCCAAATAACATGGAGTCTGGGTAACGCCCCCCCCCCCCCAGGAGAGAAGTTTAGGAAACGATGGCATCATCAGTTGGGTTCCCCCCTAGGAAGGGGCTATTGTACCATGGGTCTAGTTCTTACCGGAAAAAGAAATTAAACTCAACAGGGAAGTTGTTCTTTTCTGAATTTGTATATTTTTGTTAATGTACTTCTCTTTCCTGTTTTTCTTTTGTGTCTTCTGGCTTCTGTTCTGTCTTATGCTTTGGGAAGGGGAGTGTGGGGTTGGAGGATGGAAGCCTGACCCCTGCTTCTTTTTTTTCCCCCCCGGCTTAGTTCATTTCTTCTTATTTTATTATTAGGTTTTTTTTTTTTTTTTTTTTTCGGCTTTGGAGGTACTGGTGCACAGGGTTTGAGGTGCTGACCCTGCTCCCCTCCTGTGGTGTTTGGTGGTCTCCCTGTGTGTAGAGGGCCTTGGGTGAAAGCCCATCAAACCAACATTTTAAATACCAAAAAAGAGAAAGAAGGAAGGAAGGAAGGAAGGAAGGAAGGAAGGAAAGAAAGAAAGAAAGAAAGAAAGAAAGAAAGAAAGAAAGAAAGAAAGAAAGAAAGAAAGAAAGAAAGAAAGAAAAAGAAAACCAGTCTGTAGTCTACCTGGAGATACCTTAAAATGCCTGGGGCTTCAAGGGTTAATCTGTCTTTTCTCTTTCTTCCCCCATTTTCATCTCTGAGAATAGAAGGAAGACTGAATGAGTAAAGCATGCTGGGAACTGTGTAAGGAGTAGGGAGGGTGTGTGTGTGTGTGTGTGTGTGTGTGTGTGTGTGTGATTTTCCCACACTGTGGTCCTGGCTTCCATTGCAAGGTACTACTCAGAGAGGAGAGAGGGCAGGGCCACCCCACCAGTACAACCACATCTCTCTTTAGCTGAACTCAGTAGCCCTCTGAGAAGTGTAAGTGTTCCCCTAAGGTTCTTAACAGACTGGGTGATAGATTTTTTTTTTTTTTTTTTTTGGTACCAGAAGTGAAACCTGGGTGCAACTGCACGTGTTATGTGTGAGTGTGAGTGTGTGTGTGTTTGTACTTCCACACGTGTGTGTACCCAAGCATACCCGCCTGTGTCTATGAAACAGAAAGACCTTAAGTGGCCAGCAATAGGCCTAGCTCCTAGGAGAGAATGGAATTTCTTAACCCATCACTGGCTGGTAAACCAGGAACCAGATCTCACTGTGGGCAGTCACATTCCTTGTGTGACTGAGGATGAAGTATCTCACTGGTCTGCTACAGACTGGGAGTAAGCAATAGGTGTCCAGGGACTGCTCTGCCTGTAGAAGGTTTGCAAGGTCTGATGGGAGTGCCCTCCTAACGGGTGGGCCCAGGTTCCTGAGGGAGCAGCTTGGCCTCCATCTGGTGTCATCACTCCAAAATTCCAGGAAGAGTTGATGGAAAACAAATTCTATGCAATTTCTGATTGTAACTCAGAAAATTCCGGGAGAGATGAACGGCCACCACCAACTCCACCTCCTCCGCCACCACCTTGAGTTGAGCTGATTTCACATGGCTCCTGTTCCGAATGTACTAGAATAAAGACATTTTTCTGAAGATGACAAGCCGGATTCCCTGGTTCTGCCTTTCGCATAGGTTGGCACCTTCCCTGTGCTGGGACAAGTTGTTAGAGCTGCCGCCCTGGGGCCAAGCTGTAACCCTGATTCTCCTCGATCCAGTTAAGAGATGCCCTGCCAGTCCTAACTCACCCCTTGCGGGTGACTTGGAATTCTTTTTCACTTTTCTCTTTAACCGTCTAGTGGCAGCAAGCTGTGTGGGACCCTTAAGGTCTTGGTTTTGCCATTCCTTGTGGGGAAATTCAGATTCAGTGGGAAGGACACGTGAAGGCCAAGTGCCAGCAGCCCCCCCCCCCCCCGTGGTGTCCCAACTGCTCCAATCCCCAACCCTTTCCCATGCTTCTGACTCCGGGATCCCTCCTGTCAGATCACATCTGAGGCAGGAAGGCTCGTTTTTTAAAACTCATTTTTATGAGCAGGATATCTTGATCAATAGGAAACCTTTTTTTTAATGGATTAGTGGAGCAAATGTCCCACACATCCTTTGTGATGTCTGTTTCCCTCCCTGCGTGGAGTAACGAGGATACTGACGGCACTGGGCAGCTTTCCTTAACTCCTGGGACCATCGCTGCACCTTCCTGCGGTCGCCGCGTGAGTCTGCTATCAGCCGTTTCTGGCCCTTGGTTTGTCTCCACGTTTGATCCATTGGTCACTGGCTTTCTTTTCCCATCCTGTGTTTTCTATCTGACTCTGTGTACTGTATAAAGCAGTTTTTCTCTTGTCTGTTTATCTTTCTTCGACTGGAATATTTACAATAAAACAAACCCTGAAATGTTAGTGATGGGTGAGAGCTGTTTGAGTTGGGAAAGTGTGATCTCTGGGCCCACTCCCCAGGTATAAGATTCTAAAAGAGAATAAAACCAGGGACCCACTTTGTATCTTACCCTCCACCTGCCTCTGCCCTGCCTCTCTTTCTCCCTTGTTTCTTCTCCCTTGTCTTCTCCTCCCCCTCCATCTCTCTACTTTCATCTTCACTTCCCAGCCCTTCACTCTTTGTTCAGATCCCAGCGAAGTCTAGGTGGCTTCTTTCAATGTTCAGTTCTGGGAGCCCGAGCCAACTCCCCCCTCCACACATACACCCCTCAAAACGGATATGCATGTTAATGGAGTTCAGGTTTGTGGGGGTTTTTGTCTTCCTAAATGCACTTTCACAGAATAGTCATCTACTGATACCCAGGGTAACTCTAGCCAGATATCACCGCAGATTCCACTGGGAGCCTGAAGATTACATCAATTAAAATATAATACTTTGCTTTATTTCTTTTAATTGCTCTGCAGGGCCCCAACCGTCACAAGATCTGCACTTCAGAACCCTGGCGGGGTGTAAGTTGAGCATGTAGAAGTTGGAAAATCTTTTGGTTTCCTCTATTCCAGTGCTCATGCGAGAATATTCATGCTGGGAACTTGCCAAGCGGCCCTCTTATTGGTTAGGTGAGACCGAAATATCATGCTAAGCAATCCATCTGGGACCACTCTGTGAAAGTTCATTAGTTTGGGATTCCAAGGAGTTTAATTTTCTCTTGGAATCCCGTGTTGGTATACAGGGCCAGGGTGGAGCTGAAGTACAGTTTGAGAGAACGGTCTTCAGCCCTCCCATCTGCCCGGTGTTCACAGCAAGGCAAAGTAGTCTGGGAATGATAAGAAAGGTCTGATTCCCTGGCTAGCTGTCAGCTCTCGGGTTATAACAATGAGGCCTGTTTGGAGAATGCACAGGAGGCATCCTTTCAGAAAGACGTGCCTGAAAGCTGGGGGTTTTCCTGTAAGGCCTGCTCATGAGAAAAATGAAATCTTAAGTGGCTTTCACCTTTGAATAATTCTCCTGCTTTTCAGGAAAGGAGGACCCCCCCCCCCCAAACACACACACACACACACACACCAGACTTGACCAGAACCAAACTGAGAACATCCTCAGGGGCAGGAAACTTGCGGGGGGAGGGTCCTCTGATGTGCCTCTGGTGATGGCATGCTTTCAAAAGAGGGGAAATTCCCGAGGTGTGGAGGTTAGAACTGGATGGCCAACAACTTCACTATCATTTAAGAGCAAGGGGAGAGGTGTCCTGGTATTGTTGTTAAAACCTAATCAGTCACATCTTATTGGCATTTCCAAAGCCAATGAATAAGTATAATAACACAGGCATTGCCAGGAGGCAAACAACAGAATTTCTGCTAGGAGAGGAAAGAAAGAAGTCCATGAGAGTGACAAAATGGAAAACAACCTCTAACCAGAAATGGCAGGAAAGGCCCCAAGAGAGGGCATAAAGAAACTGAGCATCTAATATGGCTGTAGATTAACTGTGTGCATGCAAATGTTCCCTTAGGTGAGAGGTTCATGGAGTCACACAAGGGAATCCATGAGCAGTGCACAGTGGCTCAAGTGGGGGCATGACAGGGTACAGGATCTAATTTACAGGTTGGATTTTGCACAGCCCATACTACATAGAGAAGCAGTGTTTCTTCTGCTAGAGAACCAGCTGAAGGATCCTGCCCATCGGAGGGTAACAGAGATGGGAGGGTAGTGGAACGAGGCAAAGCATTTCCCCAGAATTAGATTCTATGGAAAAAAAAATACAAAAGAAACAAAATCCAGAGATCAGTACCCCCAAATGACAAAATTTACATTTGAGAAAAAGGTGGTGGGGGCTGGAGAGATGGCTCATTTGGTCCATGCCTGCCTTGCAAGCATGAGGACCTGAGTTGGGGCCTGAGAACCCATATAAAAAAGAAAAGCTGGGGCACTGGAGAGATGGCACAGCAGATAAGAGCACCCTCTGCTTTTGAGGAAGATTTGGGCTTGGTTCTCAGGCTGCACACACCCATCTGTAACTCTAGTCCTAGGGGATCTATTGCTCTTCTCTGGCCTCCACAGGCACCTGCACATAAACAGTGTACAGACATGCATGTAAGCAAAACACTCATACACATTAAAAAAAAAAAAAGTCTTAGGTAAATTTAGGAACACTTGGAAGATGAGGACAGGTGGGTCCCGGAAGCCAGGCTAGCCTACTCTGTAAGCTGGAGGGCAGTGAGAGGTGCTGTCTAAAAAGTTGTGTGTGTGTATGTGTGTGTGTTTTGTTTTGCTTTTTTTTTTTTAATGAACACCACTTGAGGCTGTTCTCTGTTCTCTGGCCTCCATACTCACACCAGTGCTGGGAAATCAAGACTTTGCTTCGTGCCCCTTGGAGGAGAATGTGGTTAACTCAGACCGGTGACTAAAAAGATAGCCTGTGGTTGCCGTGGCTCCCTTGTCTTTCTTCCCACCCAGAGCGTTCCTTTCGGAGGAAAGCTGGCTCTCCTGTGATGCTCATTATGGTTTTCCGGGGCTGTTACTTGGAGATCCTCACCACCATCTCCCTTCCAGGCTTCCTTAAGCTGCACTAGTGGGATTAGCTGCCTCATCCTCACCCTGTGAATGCAGAAAGGCTAGCTGCTCCGCTCAGCAGCCCTCTGGAGTGGACTCTGAGCTGTTTATGAAAAGATTCTGTTAAAAATTGGAGGCCAGGGGTAATACAGAACTGAAGATGCGGAGCCATTATGAAACTAATGTGGAACAAAATCCTCACATTTCTAACACACGGGACATTGGACGGAGCCGCCTTTCAGCCCATTAAGCCATACAGTTACCCATAGCACACAGAGTCTGCCTGGAAAGTTATTCTACTTGGATTGCTCTGATTAGATTCTTAGTGGTTTTTCCATTAAAAGTAAGAGTAACTCCCGTTTCCGCATCATCTGTAATCCTAGAGTACTAAGTGGACTGAGAAGCATTTTGAATCGTGAAGACTTGCTCAAATGGGAATGTCAAAGCAGAGAAGTCACAGGCTGGCGAACAGCTCAGGCCAGCGTTTCCCAGAGACTGTGTGTAGCAACCAGCTCTCCCGTGACAGGCCTTTCAAACTAGCTTTAAAAGGATCAGATAAAAATAGTTCTGCATGAGACCAAGCTATGTTTCTTTGCAGATCCTCCCTCCCCATTTTTTTATAAACTAAAACCTGGTGGTGGTGGTATGGTGTGTGTGTGTGTGTGTGTGTGTGTGTGTGTGTGTGTGTGCGCTCTTGAGTGCATGCACACTGAGTGTGGCACGTAGAGCAGTTTTCCAAAAACATGATGTTTTTTTTGTCATCGTGCCTGTCTGTAAGGTATGTGCGGCTATGAAGCATGTGAAAGTGTTGTGAATATGATGTGTTTACATTCTCTCTGTGTTTATATACTAGCAAATATGCAGGTTCTCATCAGTGTGTACATGAGGGGGTGAGGTGTGAGTGTGGCGTGTGTGAATACTGGTTTAGCATAGATGAGTAGGTTTTGCCGGTGGGTTTATAGCATATAGGTGAGTGTGTACTGTGTGTGGTGTGTAAAGAATGGTGCGATGTCAGCGGTTAGTGTATGTGTGAATGACGGGAGAGCGCTTGGAGCGTATGTGATCCGTGAGTGTGCGATGTATGTGGTTGTATGCGGGTGTAGGTGCACGTGGCAGTGTAGCACAGACGTGCTGGTTCCTAAGTGGCGGAAGACAACCTCTCAGCCCTCGAGCCTTTACCCTGTGCTTCTGGGAAGCGTAGTTGGGATGGACGTTTGGCTCTCAACAGCTTGGTTTTCATTTAATAGCCTTCAGCGTAACGTCTTTCTACACTCAGTGTACACGCAGACGAATGTGCAAGAGGTGTTTTCCCCCGTTCTCACTTGAGTGATACTGTGCCTGAACTGGTTTCTTAAAACCCACTGCTGCCACCCTCACCAACTGAGGCTCCCCGTCCGTTCCTCCAGCCTGAGTGAGCGACCCTGCAGAATCTGTTCAGGTGGTATGACTGAGCAGCCAGTGAAGATAGGGGCAAAGCACCACGCTCCACCCCAGACTCATTGATAGCTTTCTCGTTCCAGACAGAAGACCATCTTCAAACCAACCTGACAAGGAGCTTGCTAAGGACTGAGATACAGAATTCAGAAACGTTTACATTCCCAGAGTCTGTTGTTAGTGTGATGGACCAGCAGAGCCACTGAAGCTGCTGTTGTTGGAAGAGAATCCAGGGCTCTCCTTGGTTTCAGCCTCTTGACAGTCTCTCACTTCCCTTCTGCTCTACTCAAGGATCCCTGTGGCACTTTATCTTTTGATGCTGAGATGTTTCTCCTGCCTTTGTTCTGGTAGTTCCTACCTGCTGGTGGGGCCAGCTCTGCATTGACAAAGTTCACACATATTTCATCCCTGGCTTGAATACTGTTCCCTCAGTGAGACCATCTAAGATAGAACTATCTCTTTCTTCCCAACCACTCTGGCCCTCCCTTTATGACCCCTCTGGCTTTCAGCTTTGTATTGTCCCCTTCTTCCTCCCACCTTTCCTAGCACGCTTCTTAAGAGTGCAGAGAAACATGCCTTTTTTTCCTTCGCAGAGCACCAGGATTCCCAGTTTCCTATGAATGAATGCATGAATGAGTGAGGCAAATCTGATAGAGAGCAAATACACATAAAAATGCAACAAATCTGAAAGTGAGTGGCAGGGATATGCTAATGCACCCTTGATTCATGGCGACCAAGCCAAGAACAGCTTAATAATTTATAGCAAGGAAAAATGTGACTTTGTTCGTCTTCCTGGGCATGATGCCTGTGGGGGAGAGCAAGACAATACCTGTAGGTGGCTAGGGGTCTACTTGGAGGGTAGGAGGGGCTGGTTACTTCCTGCTGTCTGCTTGTCTTCCAGACAGTTGCCTATTCTGAGAAAATCAGCCAGCTTTCTCCTATCTGCCCTCATTATTCTTAAAAAAAAAAAA